GGTGGACAATAGTCAAGCCACCATGCAATTATAGTAAGCCAGTGCATCTCCAAACAATTCAAGTCTACTTCTGTGCAAGTCATAACTAATATTGTAGGCTTCCCAAACTTTCTCTATGTATGACTATCACAATCGATGCCTTCTCTATTACAACCCACCACTCAAAGCTTTGGATGACAAAATGATGATCTAGCATATCAATTGTCACATGAACAAGTGATTACACATGATGTGCCAAGTTACTAAGTTCATGGTAGATGATGTTACCATATTGACTTACTATGTACATTATAATACTAGACAATTCCAAACAATCATTAACTTGTATTTTACCAAGATGAAAATTGTTGGAACCAAATTCGCTCATCTCTGTTAGCGGTAGTTAAGCATAATATAATTCTTTTACATTAAAATTTGTCAAATACTTTGACACTATTTTTCATACTTACAACACTTATAAAAATACAATTTTCTAAACGTCAATCGCTTTATTTGATTATTTTTAAAGCGCAAAAAATAAAAAACAATTTAAAAATAAAATAAAATAAAATAAAACACAACATCTCAAACCTGCCATATGATTAAAAGCACACAGATTGACAGCGTATGACAGGGGTATATACGTCAATCTAGCGTTTCAAAATAGGCACACCGCACATACAACGATGGCGTCGTACGCCTTATCCTCTTCAATTCCCCCAATTGCTTCGCTTCCTCCGCTGCTGTTACACTAAAATGGCAACTTTACATTTACACAGCGCCCTAGCTAACCCGACGCCGTTCAAATCCACAAACACCCAGATTTCAACTCGGCGAGAGCCACCCAGGCGCCGAGCCAACTCGGTCAGGTGCGGCGAGGCAACTCAGGTCAGCGGCGAGACCCACCGAGTCACGGTTAAGAACGGGAACGATTCTCTGGACATATGCCGAGTACTGAACGGAATGTGGCAGACGAGTGGTGGCTGGGGCAGAATCGACCGAGACGACGCCGTCGAGGCCATGCTCCGCTACGCAGACGCTGGCCTCTCCACCTTCGACATGGCAGACCACTGTAAGTCAAATAAAGTCAAAACCCCAATTTACACTAAGGGATGTGCTTACGTGGAAACTATGTATTGGTTGACCTGGAAATACAGTAGCATTCATTTACAATAGTACCCTTAGATAATATGTGAATTTGTTGTATCTTGGTCTAAATATGTGAAAATATGCAACAAGATAGGGGCTTATGTGTAAAACTGCAACACCTTGCAAAAACCCAATATTTTAAAAAATAAATAAAAGTAAAATCAATGGTGCAGGAGAAGCTGGAGGGCTACTGATAAGATAATCTTTGCTGTGTGTGAAATTGATGTAGAAGAAGAGAAACCGGGTTTGTTTCGATTTATTTGCGTATTTAGGCTGTCCTATTTGCAATGGCAGAGTTGTTGCACCATAATGCTCTAAGCAAATTTACGTTTAGCTCGATCAAGAAAGGAAGAACAACCAAAAGAATTCAGAAACTCAGCTGGAGGCCAATCCAGGGTGTGCTAACTGAAGATAACCGACAGGCTGTGGTTAAGAATGGCAAGGATTCGCTAGACATATGTCGGGTTGTTAATGGGATGTGGCAGACGAGCGGTGGCTGGGGTCAAATTGATAGAGACAGTGCAGTTGATGCTATGCTTAAATATGCTGATGCTGGACTCACCACTTTTGATATGGCAGATATATGTATTGTACTCAATTATCAATAGCTCATTGCTTGCGTGCTGTGCTTGTATATATGCGCATTGGTTATCATTTCTCATCCGAGTGTGTCACATTTAAGAGTCATATATATTATTTTCACTGAAAATATTTGTGTGATTGTGATCCAATTGCTAGTGAGGTTCTCGCTGTTAACTCTTTCTAGTGAGCTCGACCCTAAACTACACAGTTATATACCATTTTTGTGTATTTATTGGATAGTTGTTAGTAGTGGTTGAACTGTTTATCGTTGTGAATAGATCCCAGGCAGTTAATCCTTTTTTTTTCTCTGTTTCTTATTTGTGAATTTGCTCTTAGGGTTGGTAGTGATTCATATAGTTTGGGATTTTGTAGATGGACCGGCTGAAGATCTATATGGCATCTTTATCAATCGAGTTCGTCAGGAGCGTCCACCAGATTACTTGGAAAAGGTCAGAGGGTGAGTTTCTTCCACTTGATAGGTTGTAGATTATAAGGATTACTGGCCAGCTATTGTTTTGAAGCCCTTGACATATGGTTGCATAGAGCAATCCTTTTCATGCAGAAACTGATTAACTCTCTATATTTAAGTCAGTGCGAATGGAAAGTCTTAAAGTTTTGTTTTCCCCACTAATTGTGATGCAGTCTTACGAAATGGGTGCCACCGCCTGTTAAGATGACAAGTAGTTTTGTAAGGGACAGTATTAATGTTTCACGAAAGAGAATGGACGTGGCTTCCTTGGACATGCTTCAGTTTCATTGGTATGAATTTCTTTTCTCAATGCAAGACATGGCAACCTTTTCATCATGTGTTGTTCGAATTTGTATTTGTATAACATGCTCCGTCGGAATCCAAGTGGTATTAAGTGAATGACTCGTGAGGGTGAATTTCTCTTTCTACTTGCGATAGGTGGGATTATGCAAATACTGGTTACCTTGATGCACTAAAACACCTTACAGATTTGAAAGAAGAAGGTTAGTGTATTACCGACGTTGTAAATTGAATTAAACATCGACTATCATTTCAAGGTTTCATTGCATTACTTGAGATACTGGTTTGCAGGTAAAATTAAGACAGTCGCCTTGACAAATTTCGATACAGAGAGGCTACAGATAATCCTAGAAAATGAGATTCCTGTTGTAAGCAATCAGGTATATGCTTCGTGTAGTATATTATTTGATTTTTCTCATGGTAATATGCTTTGCACCTCCTTGTGCTTTATAATCACATTCATACAATGTAATCAGGTCCAGCATTCCATTGTTGATATGCGTCCTCAACAGAAAATGGCAGAGCTTTGTCAGCTCACAGGAGTCAAACTTATAACGTCTCTCTCTCTCTCCCTCTCTCTCAAACAATTTTGTTTTTTGCGATACGTTGTATAGCTGCTGTAGCCTTTTCAGGTGTTAACATAGCACTTTCTGTTGCAGGTATGGGACAGTAATGGGCGGTCTATTATCTGAAAAATTCCTCGATACCAACTTGAACATTCCTTTTGCCGGGCCTCCATTAAACACTCCCTCCCTCCAAAAGTACAAACGAGTATGGAGTCTTGAACTTATTGACGCTAACACTTTAATTCATTAATATGGTTATTAAGATGTGCCCCAGGATGTTGGTAAGTCAGCTTTAGATACAAAATCAAGCAAAGGATTGTGGGTGTTGTCATAAAAAGGGGAATAAGCTTAATTAGTTGGTGTTTAGCACTCATATTTTGTGTGCATTTTATCTGTTTTGATCCGTTCTTACTCGATTTGTAACGTGAGGCAGATGGTTGATGCCTGGGGAGGTTGGAGTCTTTTCCAAGCTCTTCTTCAGACACTCAAAGGCATTGCTACTAAACACGGAGTCTCCATTGCTAATGTTGCGGTGAAATACGTTCTAGATCAGGTAAAGTTCAACTAATCTGAAGTTTTTGGATTCTGTTTAACCTCGGAATTCTTTTACATCAGTTGCGGTAAGTCATGATTTGAGTATGTCTGGCTTGTAAAAAATTGCAGCAAGCAGTTGCAGGATCAATGGTAGGTGTTAGACTCGGGTTGTCGGAACACATCCAAGACTGCAATGCTGTGTTCTCACTTGCTCTCGATGAGGAAGATGTAAACAGCATAAAAGAAGTCACAAAGAAAGGGAAGAATCTCCTTAAAGTGATTGGGGACTGCGGAGATGAATACCGGCGTTGATGAGATTTCACAAATTATACTCCAATCGTCCCGTCAGACTTTTCGTTACGTAAGTGGGAGTGAAACGACATTTTTCGTGCGTTAGAAGAGTATCACTACATTGATATAGAATTGCCATCACACAGTAATATGTAACTGTCAAAGGTTTGTGAACTATTTTCCAATCACTTTAAGCTGAACTTCAACTTTTCAACACTGTAAAAAGGGTCTGTTATTTGAAATCTTTTGACAAGGGCAGCATGCTCAAGCTGTCTCGTTTGGGGGCACCTTTTGGACTCCAACCATATCCTTTCTCAAGACCTCGTACGGAAACCCCAATTCTAACCCGTGTGGCATAAAATGTACAAGTTTCCGATTGCAGCAGAGATACTTTTCACGTAATGGGTTTCACTATGGACAAGGAACTCCAAAATGCATAGAACTGCGAATGGCACGACGCCTCTTCCTAAAATGGAATAGACATACATATGCATGTATACATATATGTACCAATAACTTCGTCGCTAAAACAAAGCTTGAACAAAATGGACTTCTTAAAGAACACGGATGCAATTCTGGGATTTATCCAGAGTATCTGGTTTGATAATTCAGTACAGGATTGGAGGTATAAACCCCTCCTATCTTAGTTTCTGGATTATAAGAGGAAAACATTCACCCATACAAACAAAATACTCGAGAAAGAACGGGAACTTTTTTTTGGCTAAATCTACTGTCTTGTCAACGTCTCAGAGTCCCAACAAAAAGCTTCACCTGCCAGAAACAATGAAAGAGATTACAATTCTAAATGTTGGAAAGGATCATATTTTGTGTCGCATATGCTTTGGGACTTGACAACTCACATTTGGGAGTCTCGTAGTTGCAAATTAAAAGAACGTGAACGAAATTAATACAACAAAATTGCACAAAAGGTGAACGCCAATGGAGAATTCAATTTCAACTTCTAAAAGAATGACATCCTTTCTTAGATTTACACGAGAAACATTATTTTGTTGCCTTAATTACCAGGATTTAAATTAGTGTTGACTTGTTATAATCTCAGGCACTAAAAACTAACTAATTTTGTTGTTGAAAAGGTGCAACACAATAGCAGCTGGAATGAAAGTGAAACCTTAAGACGTAGTCTGTGTTGAAGCTGGAGGTGCATCTGATGGTACAGGAGGCTGGTAGATGCGTGCTTTCGTGAGGATTTCAGCCACAACCCAATGCTTGCGCTTGCTCAGAGGCCTCGATGGATCCAATCGAACCTGATTAAATAGTTTGCTTAAATTTAAATTAATAATAACTAAATAACTAGAGAGAGAGAGAGAGAGAGAGAGATACTCGGTCACCGATGTTGCAATGATTCTGCTCGTCATGGGCCATGAACTTGGAGGTCCTCTTCACGTATCGGTTGTAGAGCTTGTGATGGAACAGCCTGTCCACTGCCACCACCACCGACTTCTGCATCTTATTGGAAACCACCATCCCTACCACCGTCTTCATCTCTTTTAAACCCTAATGAACAACAGCTTACCACTGACCCCTGAGCATCTCACATCGAACATATACTCAAACTCATAATCAGGTCAAACCACAGTTAGCCCTAAACTGTACCGTCCAACTAGCTCACACGTGAACTAAAACGGTTCTTAGTTCTACATCGTATTTCTCGGCATACCTCCAGAATTCAATTCAAGTTAATTCAATTCCTTTGATAACGAGTTATTGAACCGATAGCATAGGAGCTCAATGATATCCATGGGTCAGCAAAAAAATTCAATTGATTTGGTAGCTATAAACGAATCGAAAAGCTGCAATCCATCTTAACAATCGAATTTTGAAAAATACTTGGTTCATATGAAACATTCATCCAGAAATAATCATGGATTGAAATAGTGGATTCTTACTTTTCTTACCCTAATTCGAATCGCAAATGAGGTTTTCCTATGCAAAGAGAAAGTACAACTATACTAACAAAAATTTCAAAATTCACTGGAGAACAACAAATTATCATCATTAATTTATACAATAACAAAAACCCAGAAAATTAGACTACAATTTTCTATACCACACCCATCAAATCTCCAGTAAGTGCTCATCATCGCAAGATTTCAGTAATATTTCATGTTTTTCTCCAAATTTAAACCACGGAAATATGGAAAATTCGGAGAAATCGAAACCTTACCTGCAAAACTGCGACAAAGCAATGCAATGGTGGCTCGAGAACGGAAGACGACGGAAGAGAGAGTGAAGAATCGGGCCTTCAGGTGGTGGACGGCGAATTGAACGGATCGAAATTTGATAGAAATCGTCAGTGGCCGACGGAGAAGATAGTGATGAAATGAAATAAGAGACTGCGGAGTCTTAAACCTTTCGAAAACAAAATAAAAAAAATAAAAAAGGTTTTATAAAAGTTCATTATTAATTTATTACTTAAGTATTAATATTTCTTTTCATTTTGACAAAAATATGTCATTACAGTTGACGACGTATAAAATTTTTAGACGACCTTTAATTTTGTAATTGAAAAGCCTCTGCTGCTGTGGAAATAAATAGTATGAAATAACTCGATTAAAAAATAATAATTTTTGAACAAATAATATTATTATATTAAGAAATGAGAAATTAACTAAACCTTATAACGAACGAGTCGAAGTTAGGACTTTTCAAATAAGAAATACAGACCGTACTAACTAACAAATCAATACATAAGCCTAAAACCCTACGAAATAAAAAAATTGAAAAACCCTGCAAATCTCCGTCTCTCGGCAGCATCCCTCTCTTCATTCGAACATCAAACCGTTCTCTTCTCTCTCTCCCTCCTCCGAGAAATGAATTTGCGGCACTTGATTTCCAGGCAAGCAGTAAACAATGCTTCAAAAGTCAGTGGAACGTTGCCATCGCTGCATGCTTTCACAACCATAGCAGCAGACCCAGTACCTCATTACTTTCGTCTACCCGGCTATGGCGGCTCTAAACCACTCAAGAACCCTAATTTCCCAAAACCCATTTCCCCATTTCACCGGTACATTCACTCTGCTCAAGCTCAAGCACAAGCTGTTGATTCCGAGGATTCCGAGCAGGAGGAAGACGGAGCCGTTCGCGATTTCCTGTCCCGGTTCGTGTGGATCATGCGACAGAAGCTCTCCGAATCGTACCTGGGATCCGATAAGGCAACCGTCGACGGCATGCTGTTGATTATTGTGGAGAGAGTTGTGGCGGAGATGGAGAAGGGCGGCATTGAGCAGATGCTCGGTTCGTCGCAGTACACCGATTATTTTAGTGAGGATTTGTGGAGGACGGTGTGGGAGGTGAGCAATATGGTGTTGGAGGACATGAGGAGGGAGGCGAAAAAGGAGAAGATGAAGGGTTTTTTACAGGAAGAGGAGGTGAAGGAGATGTGCAGATTTGCCGGTGAAGTCGGAATTCGAGGGGATATGCTTAGGGAGCTGAGGTTCAAGTGGGCACAAGAGAAGATGGAGGAAACTGAGTTTTATCAGAGCTTGGAGCGGCTTCGAGAGGGGGACAAGAAGGCGGAGGAAGCAGGGGAGGAAGCAGAGGGAATGCAAGGTGAAGCCACAGGGGAAGAGGTGAAGTCTAAGGTTGTTTCACTTCCGAAGAGGCGAGGGAAGATCAAGTACAATATATATGGTCTTGATCTGTCTGACCCCAAGTGGGTAGATGTGGCTGATAGAATCCATGAGGCTGAAGAGATCACTTGGCCTCAGGAACCGAAATCCATATCCGGGAAATGCAAATTGGTAACTGAGAAAATTATTCAAACGAATGTGGCGGATGACCAGTCTCCGCTTTTGGCTGAATGGATAGAGCTGCTTCAACCTAGTAGGGTTGATTGGCTCAATTTGCTCGATAGATTGAAAGAGCAGAACACTGCCTTGTACTTCAAGGTACACACCACTATTTTGATGAAAAAGTTGTAGGGATATGGTGGGTGAGTTGAGGTTTATACATATATGTGGCTGATAAGATAAATTATTTGTTTTAGCGGGTTAGTATAAGGAAATGCACCTTCTGATAGTGGGTTCATTAATTTCATATTGGTTATCCCGAAGCAAACGATGCTGAAAAGTTTGTTTTGTAGGTCGCAGAACTTGTACTGGATGAGAAATCCTTCCAGACAAACATTCGTGACTATTCAATTCTTATCGATGCCCATGCAAAAGAGAACCATCTAGAAGATGCTGAGAGAATTTTGAAGAAGATGAATGAAAATGGTATCGTGCCTGATATTTTAACTACCACTAGTTTGGTTCACATGTACAGCAAGGTAGGCAATCTTGACGGTGCCAAACAAGCATTTGAAAGCCTAAGGAGCCAGGGCTTCAAACCAGATGTCAAGGTCTACAATCTGATGATCATGGCATATGTAAATGCTGGCCAACCGAAATTTGGAGAGTCATTGATGAGAGAGATGGAAGCAAGAGACATCAAACCCACAAAAGAAATCTTCATGACATTGCTTCGGTCATTTGCACAACAGGGTGATATTGGTGGAGCGGGACGAATTGCCAATATTATGCAGTTTGCAGGGTCCCAGCCGACATTGGAGTCTTGTACACTGCTTGTAGAGGCATATGGGAAAGCTGGCGACCCTGATCAGGCAAGGAGCAACTTCGATTACATGATGAAAGTTGGGCACAGGCCTGATGACAGATGCACTGCAAGCATGCTTGCAGCTTATGAAAAAAAGAATTTACTGGATAAAGCGCTGAATCTGTTAACACAGCTTGAAAAGGATGGATTTGAGCCTGGAGTTGCCACTTACTCTGTTCTTATAGATTGGTTGGGTAAATTGCAGCTAGTTGGTGAGGCTGAACAACTATTGGGAAAGATTGCCGAGCAGGGTGAGGCTCCTCCACTAAAAGTTCATATAGGCCTTTTTGATATGTACGCTAAGGCTGGAGTCGAGAAAAAGGCACTCCAAGCTTTGGGAGTATTGGAGGCTAAGAAGGATCAATTGGGTTCAGAGGAGTTTGAGAGGATCATAAATGGGCTTATAGCTGGTGGGTTTGTGCAGGATGCTCATAGGGTACGCGGTCTGATGGAGGCCCAGGGTTTTGCTCCGTCAGAGCCACTTAAGATGGCCCTAATGGCATCTCAAGCTTTTGGGCGCAAAAGGCCCTCAATGAGAAGATAGCTTGAGGGGCCTTGACAGATGCTTCACAATCTTTTGGCTGCAAGACCACTGTTAAGATGTTTTGTAGTTTAGGAATTCATAGCTTTTTGGCCGCACGTTGTCAGATAAAAGGTTCTATTCGTTGCATTATCATTATGATACTTACCTTGTTTCCAATGCTTACATGGACAGAATGCAAGTCAGGTTTTGGAGCCAGAATTGGTAATAAGTTGTTTGAATGCACTAAATGACTAGGCTGATTTAGTTTTGCAATCTTTCGTTTTAGCATGTTTTAGTGATGTGTTTGAAAAGTGCTCAACTTTTAGATTTCAACGTTTAACTGATAATGGTTTCTGATCTTTTGTTGCAATGAGTCCTGAAGGATTGTATTTACTATGATAATTTATAAGGTGGAAACAAAGTGAACGTGTGTTTACCAATGGTTGATGCTGCATAACAAACCTGAATGTGTTTATAATTTCTGTGATACAAGTTGAATGGATCTTTACCGTTAACTGATACTGCATATTATTTAGAACTGTGGTTTGTCACGAGTTCTAGATCTGATACGCGAAGAGAATCTCCAAGTTGATGGCCAACGACGAGCACAACCATTGAAATATCTGTGACCAAGTATGTATGTTTCTCTTCCCTTTCCTTATTTAATGATAATTAATTTAATTTCAAGCAAACAGTGTCATCAGGCCCGTTTGTAACCATTGGGGGGGTTTAAATAAGCATAAGCATTGGATTGTTGCCGATGCATCTATCGGCCTTTTATACCACCAGTTTCACCTTCACGTTCAGCTCACCTCGTTCTGATTCTTAAGGTTTCACTTTCATTCCAGCTGCTATCATGGTCTATTCTTTCAACCACAAAATTAGTTCCTTTAATTAGTTTTTGTCTGTACTTAATCCTATTGTAATAGCATGTGATTATAACATATGTAAACCTCATTTTCCAAATCTGTATTATCATAGTACAGTAAAACCTCTATAGATGAATAATGTTGGGACTAAGAAAAATTATTATTTTAGAGAGGTTTACATTGATAACATTGATGCTGGAATGCTTTTTCTTCCTTGATCTAGTAAGATTTTCCTCATGGTCTTAAAAACATTGTGAGTAAGACTGTGTTTCCTTTCCTCGTTGGGTATTGGTACACTGATATGTGGTTTGCCATGGAAGTTCTGATGTGTGCACGAACACAGCCTAGTAACTGTACCGGGAATAGCTGTATTCTTATTGATATTAGTCGGATTACGTTTTTGTAGTTCTCAACTCAAAGAATCAACACACATTTGTGCCAATTTATTTCTTGCCTAAATTGTGAGAGGGATCATACTGCTTCCATGCATCAGTTCAAAATGCAACATGCATGCTTGATCGTCTGGAATGTTTTTAGTGTGCATTTGAAGCATGTATCAATCATTTGTTCAAGCATCTTTATAATCTTGGAAGAATGTATGAGTACGGTACAATGCTAGTATTAACCGAAGATTTGTACGCTTTGGAAGAATGTCAAACTGCTACTCCCAACTAGCCATCTAAAGGGTTGAGATGTACAAATTGTGGTGCTTGTAAAATGGGGCATCTTGCCTGTAATACTAACATGAATCCTCATCTACAATCTGATTCTTATGTGAAAAATTATATAGGTGGGATATTGGAGCAAACTTAAATGCAATTACTATAGTCTAAAGTTGAGGAAGAACTGGCATTGTTCATTAAGGGACTGATTTTGATTTATTTACAACTCCGCCATTCTTCGCAAAAATGCACGGTTCTGTGCTGCTGTGTTTGGGTTCGATGGGTTGGGGAATAAAAGGTATGGACCAAATTTGGGTTGTTTATTTACAAAATTATTTGTCATCTCAATTTATTTGTTTTGAGGCTACCTTGGTTCAACCCTTCCCATCATTTCTTCGTTCTAACTCTAGCGGCGACGTTAGCTGCTCTCTCTCCCTCTCTCTAGAAGCTTCTCTCCTCTCCATTTCTCTTTTTTTTTTTTTTGAAACCCTAATTACAATTCACCCAAAAAAAATTTTAGCCTATTTTCAACCCATGTCTAACGGATCGGACTCAAAGATTGGGGTTTGTTTTATAATTGTACGCTTTCCATTTCTCTTTTTTTTTTTTGAAACCCTAATTACAATTCACCCAAAAAAAATTTTAGCCTATTTTCAACCCATGTCTAACGGATCGGACTCAAAGATTGGGGTTTGTTTTATAATTGTACGCTTGCGAGGGTTTGCAGTGGGTGTCATTTAGATTGAGGGATGGTTCTGAGAAGGTTGACGGGAGAGGATGCAGAAAGAGGGGGTATGCGTAGGGATTCTAGAGAGAGAAAGAGAGAGGGTTATGTGGTGATGCTCAAGCGGCGGATATGGTTATGATGGAAAGGGTTACGCGGACAAATTGAGGGAGGAGTATAATTGCTCAAAAGGGTAGGGTTGAGGGGAAGGGTCATAGAGACATAGACGTGGGTGAGAAATGAGAATTGCGAAGAGAGAGTGAGGAAGGGAAGGGGTTGCCTACCAAGGATTTGCTCCACCTAGGGTTGTCCCTGCAAGATTTGATTTGTTTTGTTCACCTGTGCCTACATTTGCAAATATCATTCTAACTTACAAGCATTCTAACGTAAATTATGTATTTATTGTACACATACTGGATCAGAATTTTGCTGCTGCTTTTTGCGCTGCACAAACACTATACTTTAATATGAACTATTAGTCGTGATAGTTGTGATGTGATCAAGCTAAATGTAAGGAAGTTAGCAATACTTTAAGACTTTTAACAATATTGGTACTTTGACCTACAAACTAACCCAAAATGAATATTATTATTGACATTATATTTAATTTGTGATTCAGAACAAATAAAATGGTGAAAGAGATTGATCAAACATAATAAGATATTCTAGAAGTTTTGATAAAAAAAAAAATTTAAGAAGATTGGTTAGAGATCGAAAACAAGAACAACTTCGAGGAACAAAACTGACATTTTTTCACACTGCTTCAGTACCCGGTGCATCAAATGCACACAAATAAAGAAAACAAGAATGAGTTACGTGTTTTTGGTAAAGGTGTGAATCTAAACAAGTTGATAGTCTACGCTATGTATTCACCTCCAAATCCTAATAATTCTGCAAATGAAAAATAATTTACAGTAACATATCCTTTTTCTATATTAAATTAAAAAAAGGGGTGTCAGCCATTATTGGATACTAATTTTGACACTTTTTAACTCTTATAATTTCATTTCTGCATTGACGCAAAAAAAATTCTCAATTTACGATTTGGCAGAATCAATGTTCATATTCTATTTACAATATGATGAAAATATCACATTATTTCACCATCATTCATACATGCATGCTGAGATTTGTGATGGAAAAGTTTACTGTGGTCAACTTAATAAAAAAATAGGATATGGGCAATTTGAAAAGTGCACTCTCTTCGCATATGTGCGCTTTAACATTGTATGTCAGTTTTAATTATTCATAAGCAATCTGAAAAATCCACTTTACTACCCGCCACACGCGCAGGCATAGGTTTTAGTATTTTCTATTACTTACTAAGGTACCATTGTAACGCAAATTGTTCAAGCGAAATCAATCTTATATCCTAATTGAAAATTGTCAAATTGAGCCATATCAACACACTTTGATCGTAATCAATTCACGCAGCATGCTACGATCAAATCACGCAGCATGCTCAGGATTGATCTTGTCAGAAAGACTAACACGACTATCACGCAGAAAATATTCTGGACAAGGCAAAGCACTCAATACTTTCGAGGAACAAAAATGAACAGACTTGGGAGATAATTAACGATGTTGAAACCATGCTATAGATGGTTTGAACTGCTATTTGATTGACATTTAAAGCAGAATCACGATGAAATGACGCAATATTGGAAGATGAAGACTTAGCAAGTGGATCAATAACATTTGCAGCAGAATCATAATGAAGTGCGCAATATTTGAAGACGATGACTTAGCATGTGGATCAGTGATAGTAAGGGCTCACAATTTAGGATTATAATTTTGGAGACGATTCTAGATTTTGAGAAGTATCCATGAGTAACCAAGTCAAAGAAATTAAAGAATGTCATCAAAGAGTAATAATAAAGATAGTATGGACATTCACTTCCTAATTCCGATTTTCCATTTATTTGTTTATCATTATGCAATGCCAAATCCATATTTGCCACATGAGGGAAGCGTAATAATAAACATAGTATGTTTGTTATAAATTTCTTATTTAAGTGTGATTGTGTAAATCCTAGATTAGATTTGATTCTAGCTATTCTTTCCTATTAGGACTTGTATTCCTTGGATGAGAAGGATTTCTTTTCTTTCTTATTACTATAAATAAAGGCACTACGTAGGGGAATAACACATCCTATACACAACCCTATAAACACATCTCTCTCTATTCTCTCTCTGTGTCACCCGCTCTTTCTCTCCGTTAGTTAAATATAGGCCACAACACGCTATCAACACACTCCTACTGCTGTGCTTAGGAATTTGACGTGGAAATTTTCTGCATCAAACCAATTCATCAATATCATCACGCAATCAGGTTTTTTCAAAACAACAGTTTTTATCTCGATATTTTTGCAGCTCTAATAGCACGAACATTCACCATAATGCATGACCCATGTGACAGCCCATCCTGGAAACATTCTTACGTACGTGTGAAATGACAATATTGCCCCTAGTGCGTTTTCTTTTCGTGGTGTTGGTTGTTTTGTGTTGTGTTGGCATGTGTAGGGCCACACACTCACACCCTCACTCTCCCTATCCCTCTGTCCCTTTCCTTGTCTCTGTCCCGTGTCTCTCTCTCACTTCCCATTCACCATAAACGTACGGACATACACCAAAACCATTCAAACTCCCACAGATCGAAGAAACCAAGTGCACATTCAGACTTGTGAGGCTCGTGGGAGTCCAGTTGTACCATTTTCAGGTGAGAACTCTAACGTTTTCACGTCGATTTCACAATGGCCGAATTGGGGTACTATTCATGCAATCGTAAATTCTTACATTTTAAGGAAAATGGAGCTCGTGGGTAGCTTGGTGAGGTCCCAAGGAGTCTCGGAGTGGTTCGTTTGGTGAATTTGGACGTCGGGATCGCCGTGTTCGAAGTTGGCCGGACTTGGAGTTTGGTGACAGGTAAAATCTAGTGGTTTTCAACCCTTAAAAGTAGTATATCGTTGTTCTCCTAGTCCTAAGTGTCATTTTGGTGCAAAAATCGTGAAATTTGGA